ATTTTTCAAAAATCAATAAACTCACAAAAACTAAATTTTATTTTTATCAAAAAGTGGGGCGCGACACTCTTCTTACTTGAAAGTCATCTTTACACGTTTTACTCCTAATTAGTCGGGTTTCTTTGTTTCCCTTAAATGTTTTGCTCGATAAACTGTAATATGTTCTCTTGTTCAACCTTAGGTTTCATTGGTGATTAAGAGTAATATCCGGAAGGATATTTTGCACGATATTTTGCATTTCTAGGTGAGTGTTCCTTATTTGATTCTATGGCTTGTTATTATCATTTGCTAATGTGTTAAGTGCTTTTAATGATTTCCAAAACGAGCTTTCTAGGCGAGTGTGTACTTTATCACACTCGACCTAAATAACTGTGCAATTTTCAAGGATTTAATGATTGAAATGTTACTTGCGCATGAATGTAAGCCTTTTGGGCTGAACTGGCCATTGCCTCTTGTTACCGGTCGTCTTGAGCCAGAAGCGGACTCGGTCGGGCGATTAGGGACTTGGGTGAACGTTTGGTATACTCGAGTAATACCCTGTAGGTTGGTGGAGACTGGCCAACGGCCAGGACGGGGGTGAATGAATGAACGAACGAACGAACGAGGGTTTATTGATAAACGAAAAATGCATTTTCAAATGATTGGAGGAATAAGGGGAAATGTCAGGAGAACGAATGAACGAAATAACGAATTGCTCCTTGTGAGCCGTATCCTTTTAATGAATGTGTTACTATCGCTTTCCATTGTAAATGTTTCTTGAATTATTGATACTCCATGTTTAATGTATTGGATTGATTATCTGATTATGTGTTCGGAACCTCACTGGGCTTTTAGCTCATTCCTTTAGTTTTGTTTTCCTTACAGGGGAAGGCGAGCGAGGACGTGAGCTTGAGATAGACTAGCCAATCTAGTTTTGTTTCTTTTGTTTCTTTTGTAGTGGTTCTCGCCTAGTGCTTGGCACGGGTTGGACGTATGAAGGATTGAGAACCCTTGTATATTTGATGTTTATATTCTCTTTTGGGTTGGCAATGTATATAAGTTCCGCTTTAAGTTTGGATCAATGCCCTATTTATTCTAGTGATTTATTTCAATTTTTAATTGAGGACTGGAGCGAACGACTGAGTCCCGGCGAGAGTTGGGCAGGCGGCCCGCCGAACCCTCTGGTACGCCTTAGGGGGAGGTGGGGTCGTTACAAAATGCAGTAACTTTGTCGGGAATTTCAACCAATTTTAACTTGTATCCAAGAATGACAGCAAAACTAGCTCCGCCTCCACCTCTAATAGCCCAAAAGAGATCCTCACCCATGCTCTATCTGTTGAGAACTCTTCCGTTTGCATTGATGACACGAACATCGATGACATTGTCCGCGGCCAGGCCAAAACTGCCTTACCAATGGACCATAGCCTCCGCCACTGATGTGCCCACCAATGCCAACAGTAGGGCAGTAGGCAGCTGGAAATCCCAGAGTGCTATTCGCCTCATAAATGCTGTTGTATACTTCCCCAACGGTTGCCCCAGCTCCAACCCATGCGGTTCGACCTTTAATATCTATGGAGATTGAACGAAAGTTGGACATGTTAAGGACGAAAAATGGGACGTTAGAAGTGCAGGAGCTTCCCTCAAAGTCATGGCCACCGCTTCGAATTCTCATTTGTAAGCGGTACTTCTTAGAGCAAAATATTGCTGCTTGAATCTGATTTTCTGTCAAATTGATAAAAATGTCTTACCATTTGAATGCTGCATTGGCAGCCAATTAATCTGATGGGCACAGAGAGGGCGGAGGTGAACAGCTGGAATGTATGGGAGCAACCCGCCCCTTTTTTGTAATCATCTCTAATTTGTTTCGTCAGTTAATTGTAAAAAATTAAACTAGTGTGACAATTATACCCCCATTGATCCATCCAAATTGAGTAAAATGCAGTGAAAAATCCTACATTGGAAGTAAAAAACTAGTTCAAGGACTAAATTGGTTAAAATATTTCATTAAGGATGAAATTGGTTTAAGTGAAAATGTTTAGGGACCGAATTGGCGAAATTCCCTTATTCATGTGTCAAAATTTGGGTATCAAAACTACGGTTTTCTCCTCCAAAAAATATAGTAACGAAATTCACTTGATGATACAATAATGACAAATTTGCTGCATTCTTCAAAACACCGTTCATTTTAGTTGTCTCTTAAGCACCATGCTCATCCAACCAAGGCAAACCTTTTATATTGTGAGAACAGCAATCATTAAGTTAATAATTTTGAACATCATTCAATGGATGCAGTGTCTACTTTTAGGGTCCGTTTGTTTCGGGTGAAAATATTTTTCTAATTTCCCATGTTTAGTTGCACAAAAGTTACTGAAAACATTTTCCTATGTAAAATATTTTCACTCATCTTATGGAAAACAACTTCCCTTCCAAACTTACTGAAGTTGTTTTCCGAAATGCATGCATCCCGCCTGTAGTATGTTCCAAACTTACTGAAAACATCTTGTAGTATGTTCTTTTTTCTTTTTTAGTGTAAACAGGAGGACTCGAACTCAAAACCTCTTCCTTACACTCCTTCCCCCGTACCACCCAACCCAACCCAACCATTCCCCTAGTATATTCAAAATAAAAAAAAAACCTCATCCTGCTCATCCTATGCTAGTAATTAATTATGTATAATAGGGACATTTTTTTCTAGAGAAACTTTCAGCAGTGAGAGTGCAAGATATATGTCACAATAACCATTGCATGTGATTGATATTTGACACTAAATGACCAGCAATTTGTTTATTGCTTAAGGAGATATTTTTTATTCATATATACATTTCTCCAAGATTTTTTAAAATTAAATAATGAGATAAATTTTCTTAGTTTGCATGGGAAGAAGTATGTAGTTATAATGTGTAGAAAGTAAAGATATAAATAGAAGTAAGAAAATATTTTCAATAAACTAACCAAACATCTGAAAATGATGAAAGGGAAATAATTTTCATGGAAAATTACTTCCACGGAAAATATTTTCTCAAGGAAAACATTTTACTTCCAACCAAACAGACCCTTAGTGGATAATCCCATTCATTGGATAGCACCACTATTTTTTTTTTTTATTTTACTCTACTGCTAAATTATTAACCCCCCCTCCTTTTCTATTTTTACGTGCACCGCTTCAATGTACAGCAATTTACTCGGGTGGAGTTAGGTCTATCAATTAGGTTATGCGAATTGGATTTTGACATGCTCAAACTCAATTCGCATAACGTATTATTCTTTTGAATCTAAATTTAGCTCCATTATGCTCATAATTTTATTACTCATGATCAACTCACAAAAAGAGTCAAGTATTGGGTCTAATTTGAGTAGGTTCTAACGCACGTCATATATTTTTTTGTTCACAAAATCTGGTTAAATTATATAACCAGCTAATCCATAAACGTTCTATAATATCTTTAAAAAAGTTTGAATTTCACAACAAAAAATAATATAGTTTAGCATAACATTCATAAACCAATCAACTAGAGATTGAAAAAGAACAATTTATCATAAAATTAGCCATCTAACTTTCAATTATTTGCCTGGATCTAGATAAAAATAATTCCCACATGTGAGCTATAGTGTATATATTATTTGGGTTGACTATTAAGTGGGTTGAGTTTAGTGCAAACCAAACTCAACTCACGTTTAAATCGGATAAAATATTTTATCTCATTTTTAGCTCAACACACATTGCATAAGCACAACCCGCTACATTTAGGGCCGATCAAGTTAAGCTCGGACTTCGGGGGGTTAAAGGTTAGGTTATTAGTTCCCTGGGTAACCTCAAGAGTTGCCGGTTTTTTAGGTAAACACCTGAGATTCAGGATTAGTAATTTAATTCTAATTTTTTCGTTGAAAGGTTAAGCTCGGACCAACCCAACCTAATTGATAGGTCTAGTACAAACTTTCATCATACTTGGTTGCAAAAAAAAAAAAAAAAAAAAAGGCAAGAACATTTTCCCCACTCCTTCATGGCTCCATTCCTTTGTATGACTTGATGTTTCCTCGTATAAAAAAGAAGGTAAAATCCAAAAAAGAATTAATGATACTGATATTCAGCTAAAAAATATTTAATCATCTTACCATAACAAAAATTTTGAAAGACATTCAACTTTGGGGCGAAGAATTTCCTACTGTCTATATATCGCCGGTTCGTACCAAATTTTGGTAAAATAGAAAATAATTAGGGATATGGATTTGGAATAAAAAATATTCAATTACCTCTTACCATAATAAAAATTTCCAAAGATGTTCAACTTTGGAGGGGAAAAAAGGTTTTTCCAATGGGTGTTCTTTACATTTCACCCGATCTACCGTATATATTCATACTTTTCCTAATTAATTATCTTGCATTTATACACTTTTTCTAATTAATCTTATATATTTTTTAAAAATGTAGCACTTACTATCATATCATCTTTTCGTACCAAAATTAGGAAACATAGGAAAGGAAAATTAGTCACACTAAAATTTGCACCAAACTTTACTTTTAGTTACCTCTTATTATAATAGAAATTTCCAAAAATATACAAACTTTGAAGGGAAGAATGTTCTACAAACAAACTATTCAAGGCTAATAGATCACCCCAATTCTTTGAATTAGCCTGTTTTTCAAAACAAGTTTTATAAATACAATACTATAGTAATATATAAACAAAAATAAATTTAAAAAATCTCAAAAATTTTTTTATATAAATTATTATCATAAAATATTTTAAAAACACATCAAAAATAGCTAATTCAGATGAATGGCAAGTCAAACGTGTCTTTTCAAAAAAAAAAAAAAGAGAAAGAAAAAAGACATCTCAAAGTACAATCCACATTCCCAAACTCCCAACCCTATGTTTTCAGTTAGAATATTACACCTATTATTTTATTCAATATTCACCTTCCTTTTTTTTATATTTTCTTTCTTTTTTAAATTTCTTTTCCACCTTTGGCTATGTTCTAACTTTTAGCCGCCCCCTTTCTCTCAACGCACTCACGCACTCTCATTCAATATTTATTTATAATTTTCATTATTTTTTTCTTTTTCTCGTCAATTTTGACCCGTCATCCTCTGATTCTGCGCCATCCTTCTTCCTCCCCCTTCCGTCTCTCTCTCTCGAACCCGCACATGAATAAAGAGAGGAGTTTTGTACGATAGTATTATTTATACTTAATAATTTTCTTTTATTCCCTGCCAATTGTTACTGCTATTATCGTATGTCTGCCTTTTTTTTCAGGAATAAAGTAGAAAATTGACAAAAACTCAGAAATTTTCAGGGTTTTTCTGGTGAGCATTCATTATTTATAGGCGTTATGGAAGATATTGGAGTTGATATCAGGTCAGATTCCCACCATCTTTTTGTTTAAATTTTTTATCTTTTGTTTTTTATTCATTGAAAGTTGTATTTGATTGGGAGAATTGGGGATTTTGGTCGCTCGATAATGTTACTTGATGTAAATTCTAATTTTCTTGAAGTTTTAGCCCTTTAATTCTGATGGGTTTTCTAGATTTTGTTAAGTTTTTATTTATGTTTGCGAGATTGAGAGTAAATGATTACCCTGTTAATTATTTAATTTTTTTCTCCAATCATTTCTGGAAGCGTTTAGTTTCTTAAATCAGAGCCTTTATGCTTTGTTCGTGGGTTTGGTGATAGAGTTTTCACGGAGGTGTTGTTTGTAATTTTTTAAAATGTTTTCGTGATAAAGATACGAAGGGCTGGGAGTGTATTGATATTTGTTGGATTTCCTTTTCTTCATTTTTCTTGGGTTGATGTTGATGGTGAGAATGTATGATTTGCTGTTGAAAACAGTTCGGATATTGAAGTGGATGATATAAGGTGTGAGAATATGGCAGAAAAAGATGTCAGCGATGAGGAGATTGAACCAGAAGAATTGGAAAGGCGGATGTGGAAGGACCGAATTAAGCTTAAGAGGCTCAAAGAGAGGCAGAAGATAGCAGCACAGCAGGCTGCGGAGAAGCAAAAGTCAAAGCAAACGACTGATCAAGCTAGGCGGAAGAAGATGTCTAGAGCTCAAGATGGGATTTTGAAGTACATGTTGAAGCTGATGGAAGTTTGCCAGGCTCGTGGATTCGTGTATGGGATTATTCCTGAAAAGGGTAAGCCGGTTAGTGGTGCTTCAGATAATATTAGGGCTTGGTGGAAGGAGAAGGTGAAATTTGATAAGAATGGGCCTGCTGCGATAGATAAATATGAAGCTGAGTGTCGTGTCAAGGTAGAGGGAGTTGGTAATCAGAATGGAAACTCACAAAGCATTCTGCAAGATTTGCAGGATGCAACTCTAGGATCACTATTGTCATCTTTAATGCAGCATTGTGACCCACCACAGCGGAAATATCCTTTGGAGAAGGGTGTTCCACCGCCTTGGTGGCCATCAGGAAATGAGGAATGGTGGATAAGATTAGGGCTACCAAAGGGTCAGAACCCTCCTTATAAGAAGCCACATGATTTGAAGAAGATGTGGAAAGTTGGTGTTCTTACTGCAGTTATAAAGCATATGTCACCTGATATAGCCAAAATCAGGAGGCTTGTACGACAATCAAAGTGCTTGCAGGATAAGATGACTGCTAAGGAAAGCTTGATTTGGTTGAATGTTCTTAGCAGAGAGGAAGCCCTCATGCAGCAGCCAAGCAGTGAGAATGGTTCATCTAGTATTAGTGAGGCACCTTGGAGAGGTCGTGGTCAAAGAAAGAAACCTTCAGTTAGCAGTGACAGTGACTATGATGTAGATGGCACTGATGGCACTGATTGTGTCTCATCTAAAGATAACAGGAGAAACCAGCCATTAGATGTGGCACCATTAAAGGTTGTTCCTCAGTCTGTTCAAGAAAAAGAACAAAGAGAGGAGCGGCCTAAAAAAAAGAAACGTACAAGATCAAACAATGAAAATATGCTGGTTTCACAATCTGTAAATGAGCACTGTCACGATGTGCCAAAAGATATGGTGCCTGACATCAACCACACAGGTGTAGAGTACCCTGGCTACAAGTCAGAAAATAATAGAACAACAGCAATGAGCCCTATAGAGAAAGATGCAGAGAGTCAATCTCATTTACCTGTAGCTGAACTTAATCACTTCTCCACTCTTCCATCTGCCAATGACATAGGTGCAGAAAATACTTTTGCAAGCAACAAGTCCTTACTTCACCAATCAGCTCAAAATCTCGAACTTGTACCTTATGATTCTGGATCACATCAGGAGGCTCAAGATTTTCAACTACATAATATACCTGAATTTTCTGAGTTGCATGATGGAGTCCCAAATTCAGGAGTGCACTATGGACCTCAAGATCCTAGTTTTCAGAATAGGCCCCAAAATGCTCTTTTGCAACATGGTCCTCATCCTTTGCAGCATGATCCTCATCCTCAGAGCACTCCTTTACTACCAGGGGTTCATAATTCTGGTATGCCTCAGGCCCATCAATATCATTTTTACACCCCACATGTGGATATTGGTCTAAATCGTGATGGGCATCAATCTGTGGTGGCATTCAACGAATTCCAGCCTAGGATAGAGAATCCTGAAGTTAATGTACCAATTATACAAAGAATTGGGAATGAAGCAACAAGTGGAGATTTTGATCACTATTTGAAAGACAGATTTGAAAATGAGCAAAATGCACCTGTTCAGAATCATTTCATACCTCCACTGAATAGCCTGTCACCTGATTATCCTTTCTTATCAATGGATGGTCCACCATATGATGACTACTTGCTTGATGATGACTTGATTGAATACCTAGCCTCCTAAGCGAGAAACTCTCTTGATTCTGCTATTAAAGTGTAAGTGATCCTTTTTTGTTTCACATATTAGTTTTTTCCGTGTTTTATTTTTTGTTATTTTGATAGTTTTGTGATTTTTCTCTTTTATTGCAGATGACTTTTGGTCTAGAAGTTGGACTTGCTGCGAGTAGTACTGTATGACTGAGTCTAAAGTATGTAAGTTATTAATGTAGTTTCTCCAACTCAGCCAGAAATCATACCCCCAACTCAGAGCCAGAAATCCTACCCCCAATGACCACCTCCCCAATTTCCCCTCTCAAAAAAAACTGTGTAGACTCATCAATATGCACATTGAATTGAATCTTGAATTTTTTTGGGATTAAATTTGTCCCAGTTTGTTAGTTTCCATTGTTTGACTTTTACAAAATATTAAAGGTTTCTTTGTTGATTTTTGTATAGTATGACAAAGAGAGGAATTAAGCAGCTCATTGGTATTATTCTTGTGAGTTGTGAATTCTGGGTACTTTTGTATAGCTAATTGTTACTTTGAGTTTAAGATGGACGTTGTACATTAAGTGGAATATGGAATTTGAAGGGTATGAATTTGTTGGAAACTGGATATAGATGGTTAAACTCATTATTAGATGTGCTTGCTTGCTTTGCGGTTCAACACTTGGTGCATGTTTAGATGTTCTAAATGCTCATAGTTTCCTTAATCCGAAAAGAAGAAATCTAGCCAATAAGGCTATATCTGTAATCCATAGGCAGGTGCATTGGAGTGCAGTGTTTGGGTTCTACTGAATATGTGCAATGTTGCTGCTGTTGAATAGTGATTCACTTCTTATGACAAGGGCCTCTTTGACTATTCAATAGTTGCTAGGCATAAATTATGCTGCTGTTGTGTAAAAAACATCCTTGGGTTTGTTAGAAATCTCCTTAAGCAAGGTGATTATCTGGAACTCAATCAAAGTGAGACATATCACAACATATCTATGATGACCAGTCATAACTGATGCTTGAAGAGATTTATTTAGTTATAATGTTCTGAGAAGAGATTTTATCTCACAAATATTTTGGTAGGCTTGTATTTGGCCCGATTGTTAACAATACAGTGTTCATTTAACATGTAGATAATAGGGACCTTTGAAATGTTCTATGTCAAGCTGTTCAGTGAATAGCTTATCTTTATTCATAAACATGAACTACACATTATAGAACATTTTATTTGTGAAATATTTGTTCCTATCTAATGATTATTGGTCATCAAATTGAACTTAAAGAATGGATCAAGGTTTATTTATTTATTATGTTGGTAAGTTGATTGAGATGAGATTAATTTATTTTTTACAATTCAAGTGGAGCTGGCTGGTGTTCACAGATATGAGGTCTTGATGAGTGTAATGCTTGTTCAAGCTCTCGCTGATATACAACCAGCTATTATGATGTGATCTATCTTCAGCTTCTTTGTAACCAACTCATTGCCATTTTAATGTCAAATATTTCTTGCAATAGTTAGTTCTATAATATTTTTGTTTCTTACATTATTTATTTATTTGTGGTTCTTTTGTTTCTCGGAGCCCTGATGTAGAAAACTGTCAATATTGAGAGAACTTTGCTTTCGAGAATCTTTTCTGTCTGAGCTAAACTGCTATACTGGGATTTTGATAGAGTGTGGTGCATGGGTTCAAACATTGCATCATCTTTTCAAAAGTGTGACTGCTAGAAGTCTTAATGAACAGACACGTCTGTGTGTGTGTGCGCATGAATGTCTGTATATCATTGTGTAGCTGTCACCTGGGATTTTGGGAGCAGCTTCTAGAGCTCACTCCATGATATGTTGGGTATCAAAGGGGCATAACCTTAAGTTGCTGGGTGCTTCCAGGCACAGGCATCCATTCGCAATACCTCTGAACCAAACTAGTTCAGTTTATGCAAACTAGTTCAGTTTATGCTATATTACTGGCCTCAAGAATGTGTTCATTGGTAGGCTAGAAATATGGGCTTTATGCTTTTATGCAATTTATTACTTGATCACCTAACCCCCTGTTGAGCATTGCTGATCTAAGATTCTTGTTTACTGGGTGAGAATGGGAGGCTGCGAGCTATGAGTTTATTTTCCTGTAGCATCATGAGGGGCTGCTTCTAGTGTCTCAAGTTTGAGCAACACCGACAAACTTCTTCATAGCCCAAATACAACAATTGCAAGGCCTTCATTTGATGGTTTGCAATTACTGGAGAGGTTTGTCACTCAATGATTTTCTATGAATGCATGTAGAGTTTGCCTTCGAGGGTGCCAAAAGTTTAGTTTTGATTTCTATGATCTTGATGACTTTTTCTTCCATTAGGCATTCCTCTTAATAGATTATATTGAATTAGTTGTTAAAAGCCTTCTTTTGCTGTGAGACATATGATGCTTGAATTGGGAGAGATTTATGATCCTTGACATGGATAATTGCTTTTTGCTAGAGGAGAGGTCAGGGAAGAGGGAGCTTAAAATTGGGATCTCTTTTAAGTTTGCAGTTTCACTTTCAGAGGCTATTCTTGTTCAAGCTTTTCCATGAGTGCCCTCTCTCTTTTTAACCTACATATTATATTACACTGAAGTGAAAATTATGTGTGTTTTGCTTGAAGGATTACTGGTCATCAAGTTGAAATGAAAAGGGACCCCAGGGCTTATAAGATTATATTGGGAAGCTGAATAAGCGGAGATTGGTTTAGCTTGTGCTATTGCAAGTCGAACTGAGGTTCACAGATATGACTTCTTGATGATCGAAATGCTTGTTCAACTTCTTGCTCAATCACAAACCAGCTAACATATTTCGATCTATGTTGGCTTCTTTAGCACCAACTGAAAAATTGCAGACATCTAATGTAATTTAGTTTTAGATATATTTTTTTTGTCATTTTTTTTAACTTCTTTCTTCGATCAAGAAAGAGATTAAACAGGGTATGGTGCTAGGGTGCAAAGCCAGCATCCGCTTTTCGGACTCTGTGGCCGATGCAAGGCTTATTGATCAAATGCAAAGGTTGTTAATCTGGTGCTATCTTTCTTTCTTATTTTTAGTTGATTTGGGTATCAATGGGCAAGATGGTTCAAAGAATTTGCTCTTAGTAGGGTGAATCGTAGTTTATATTAGGCATGTCAACGGATCTGTGTATTATTCAGACTAGATCCGTATCAAACATGTTTTTTGTTGAGTTTGGATCAAAATTTTTAAATATAGACCCTATTCAAATTTGGACTTTACGAAAGAATTATTGATTGGGAAATTTCAACTTAATATTCTCTCCTGCCTTCAAACTCAAATGAATTTGAAAACTTCTTAACCATGAAATGAAATATACTGTAATATTTTGATAGATACAGGTGCTAATGAGAATTATATATCGCATAAATTGGTTGAACACTTACTCCACCGAGTCAGGAGATCATATTGTATTGAATTTTGAATAGTCCGCTGAATTAAAGATGATTGAATTTTGAATAGCCTACTGAATTAAAGATGATTATATCAAAGTTTCCTTCAGCAAATGGTCTTCATCTCTCATGCCCCAACCAAACAAGAACAGAACTCTGAAGACGACTTTTTGTTTTATCTATCGTTTATCTTTTAGTTGTTCATCTTGAACTTTAGAAAGAAAAGATTGAATTTGAGAGTTGTAGAGTTCTTGTCTCCTTTACAAGCGTTAAGTAGTGCTATGAAGGTAATGCAACTTTTGTTGCTCTTATCTTAAAAGTTACAACAGAATTGATTATAAATGATATTGTTCAAGGTCAAAAAATATTTGGAATGTTGTGTTCTTTGTTGCTTTGTCTTTCCAACTGTGGTTGGTACTTACTCTAAGATGGTGAAATTTACAACCAAATTATTGATAACCACAACATGATTGATTAAATGCCCAAGCCATAATAGGTTTTAAACTTCTCTCTATTGCTCGTTTTCTCCAACTTCTCTTTGTTGCTCATTTTCTCTGAATTTCTTTCTCTTCGGGAGGCCCTCCCATAGGTTTTCTATTTGTTCTTTTCCTAATAAAGCCTCCCTTAAATTTTTTTAGTGAGAGATCTCTATTTCTCCTATCCTAGTGAAAATTTTTGTTCTCTTTGGAGTTTTTAGTGAGATTTTATGTTATTTTTCCTTGTTTTATTGTTTAAATTTAAATTTACTTCAAATCTGATTGTCAGATCTGTATTTATTTCAGATTTGGGTCTATGTCGACAGATCTCATCATCTTTATTGGAATTTATAATTATTGATTAGCAGATCTGATGATTGCAACATGTATAGAGTAGGCTGCAATGATTTATTCTACGAGGATATGATTTTAAAATTGATAGTACTTTTTAAATCTATTTTTAATTTCTCAGATCTTTTGTATCTGTTAAATTGCAGATCTTGAATTTTAGTGCATATTTTATCTGCAATTAGGGCAGCGATGTATATCAATGATGCTAGACGATTTCCAGCAATCCGTTAATAAAATATGTTTTGTTATCAAAAAAAAAAAAAAGCCCAAGCCATAATAGTGGTACCCGTTTGTGACCTTTCAAGCAATTTATGGCCAGATCAATCGATCAAACACTCAAATTGTTTCGTAAGAAGACTAGTAATGCACCCTTAAAAACAAATCTTGAAATAATGAAGTATGGAATTGCCTTAGTCTAACAACACAACAAGATTTCCTTTGACTATTAAACTTGTGTTCAGAATTCTTTTGGTATGCAACACTGCAAGTTCATTAGAAGCAAAAATGGCAAGTTCCATGGGAAAAAGTCGCTTTGATTGTTAACTTGTGATAACATGTCTTTGAAAAAAATTGTTATAATATAATTCACAGTCTCATGATCTGTAAGAAAGGATGTTGTGGATGGAGAAGCAAATTCAAAATGTCTTAAAAGGATCGTTGTTTCAATGTGATCAATGTCATTCTGACAAATGTACCTGTACTGCTAAAGAATACACCATTCAAACAAGGGAGTATTTTATAGTACCAACAAACTTATCCATTAAATTAGTAAACCACCAACTACGAAGCTTCATAAAACCACAAACTTGTGTACAATAAAATTAGACAGATCTATCAACTAAGGGGAATAATTTCAAGAAGACAAGAATTCAAGCTTCCAATTGTATCTAGATAACGGTAGATCTCTGGCTTCCTATCCATTTGGGTTTGACTCAATTGAGACTTGAAACCTGCCAAGTCGACAATCCTGCAAGCTACATTTAGGAATTTTAAAAGATTTATTGAAGAGAATTAGCAATCATATGCAGGCTAAACATTCTAAAAAGTTACAAGTAGAATTGTGATTGGGAAGTATCTTCCACAATGTACACTAGTGCCACGATTTATGAATACTCCAAAGACCTCAAAAAAGGATGCAAAAAATTCTCAAGATGAACTCTAGTGCTGCATAAAAACTGCTTCCTCATTCATGTGCTAAAAGACACCAGTCCATGAACAAAAGGGGCTAATTCCTTGTAATATTGCTCCAAAAAAAATTCGATAAATGCGGCTCGACACCATTCTTTTCTTAAATTATGCCTGCCGTGCTAACTGTATACGATAGGTAACAACATTTTTTTTAAGTGCTAGGCTGCCATACTATGGAATAAATTCAATGACACTTATTGCACTGGATGATGCATTTTTCACTTACTAGGCAACGTTTGAAGGTCCTTTCGATTGGCTGAGAAACTCTTAAGTATTGGCAATAATGGATTTGAGATTGAATATTATAGGTGATCGGTTGAAACAAAAGACACTAGGACCATCGAAAATCACTAGAATCAGAAATGGGATGGATTGAAAATGTCCGAATATATCATGTCGTTGTATTAACAATTTATAGCTAGACCATAATGCCTCGAATTGCACTTATTTCTATTATTTTCATAGATAGGGTGTTAGAAAAAATGTGATTAAGATGTACTTGACTCATGCTATCTGTTTATGTAGTAACTCTATTTTGGCTACTTTCATTCCATTTGTTGTGCTTATAATAAACATAGACAATTTTTGTATTCACAGTTATTTGTAACTTTTTGACTAATTTTTATCACTTATATATATAACTAAATACACCTGCATTTTATTTGTTGTAATTAATTAATCATATAACATCCATTTTTTGTGTATTTTTTTGTTAATAGAACTTGATATGGAACATTATAATTTGAGTACATCACCCTCATATCTCAGTTCGATTGAGCATGCCATTTTATATCTATAGTAGCAACATAGGTCCACTACTATATTCTACGGTGCAAGCATAGACCTTAATGTAAGATGTTGTAATAAGTGATTTTTTAATCTGTTGAAATGCCTTGAATCAGATCTTCGACCTTCGCTGAGATGGGTTTGGGTCTCGATTTTTTTGGGCCTAATGGTCCAATCCATTTTGGTTATTTGGTTGTATATATGTACCTTATATCCATTCTGTACAAAAATATCTAATACATTCCGAACCCTAATAAAAATCTAATTTTTCCCAAATTTGTTCTTGCTTGTTCTTGTTTGTTCTTCCGTTCCGTTGCATCTGTTTTAACATAACCACTATATCAGCACAACTAGATCTAGTGACATTTGCTTGGTCAGTTATCTTATAGTAGACCATGAACTTATCACTGCGTTTGTGGAGCACTGGAGATAGGAGACGCGTACCTTCCACCTTCTTGTTATGGTTGAGGTGATGGTTACTCTGTAAGATATCGAGACACTCTGAAGTCTACGCGTGAATGACCAAACTATTACTCGGATCCATAGTAAATGTTGTCCACTACAATGTAAATAGATGATACAAGGGATTTTAAGCTTCTAGCCAAAAGAAAGCAGTTTGAACCATGGTCAATTGAAACTATCATCTATGTATGGTCGATTGAGTACTATTTGAACCACGGTCGATTGAAACTATCATCTATATATGGTCGATTGAGTACTATCCCTGAATGTTCCCGATGAGACTGTTCATCAAATATACCTGGATGTATATCATGATATTTTTGGATGGGTTATTATTTGTGGATTCATACTAGAATCTTATTAGTTTTAGTTGTTTCAATGATGTACGTTATTTAGATGCAATGAGCCAGAACAGTTGGGTGTTTGCTACATTGATATGTTTATACTTGCGTATGTGCCATGCATCACATGCTACTACTTTGACGATAGGTCGATCGTACTCGTTACTATAGTTTTGGGCATGGGAATAGATTCACTGATTTGTCCTGAGACATTGCCTTCTGTAGAGGTTGATTATTTTATTAAAGATGAGAGATGGATGGCTGAATGTACTGGAGTTCACCTCTTAGCCATGCTATGTCGTATTATCATGAGCAGCTTGCGTTGCTACAAATGGACTAGGTATTATACTATTTCTACTTAACTAGTTTTTTCTGCATTGTAAGTCATAAGTTTCATCCATGCATGTTTAATTTGTGCTTTTAGCTGTTCATTTGGATGTTGTATAGGGGTGATATACTGGCATCTCTATCTGGATACAAGAGATTGGGAGAATGTGTATAGCAGGCAAATGTCCCATTTATACTCGGGCATATTGTCGAGATTCATTGTGCATACCATGTTATGCATCAATTTGGGATGAGACAAGACATCCATGAATCCATGAACACTGTTTGGCATGGGCTGCATCAGCTAGATCTGGTCAAATATTTAGGGAGGAATTGGTTTGAATTTCATAGGGGTTGGATAAGATTTTGGAATGCATGTGCCAATGCTGAGATTTTGGAAGAGTCTATAGATAGATTCAGGCTCTCGAACAAGCATATGAGGTGGTACATATTTGACTCGCAACGGATCTTCTGTCCCACATTTTGTCCCTCTCTGTCCCACTTTTTATTATATTGATATTTCTCTTACATAAATATCATATTTTAGTTCTTTTTTGTTTCTTTAAGATCCAATAACTATTAATTGAGTAAAAAATAAATACAGCAGCTTCAAAAAAGCAATATATAATAGAAAATTAAAAATATAGCAGAAAATTTATAAAAAATCTCATTTTTTATGCATTTTGATTTTTTGAGTTTGTTAAATTTTGTGTATTACTCAATTAATAGTTATTGGATTTTAAGGAAACAAAAAAGAACTAAAACAAGATGTTTATGTAAGAGATATATCAATGTAATAAAAAGTGGGACAGAGAGTGGCACAGAATATGGAACAGAAGATCCGTTGCGTATTTGACTTATGTTACTCCTTCTATTTATCAGCATTTGCAACCC